TATTATTATGATTATGGTTATTATTATTAATATTATTCTAAAGATTATTTTTCTACATAAACAACTCTTTATGGATCATTATTTTTTCTTCTATAATAATTATTATTATTATTATTATTATTTTTATTATTATAATTATTGTTATTATTATTTCTCCTTTATCCATTATTATTATTATTGTTGTTATGTTATCTTTATTTATAAAAATTACCAAAAGTATCTGTGTCAATCTAATTTTAATTTCTTTGTTGAGTTTATCTATCTTATTTTTAAGTACTAGTAGAAAGAGAATCGAAAAACGAAGTAGGATTATATTTAGGTTTACCCTCTTGCTTTTTAATTTTCTCTATTTCATTTGCTTTTTAAAGCATTTCATCAAAATCAAAAGCTCTAGGATTTGTTCCATTTGATTTTATTTATTAATTTTATGGGAAATTATTTTAGAATTACCCTCTAACCTCTTATTACTGCTCTATTTATTCAATATTTTATGGTGGTTGGAGATTTTAAGGTTATTAGGATTAATTTTCTTATTTGACATTCTCGAATTTCAGATCTTCAGACTTATTCTCTTCTAAAGTTTTGAAACCTTTAATTTCAGCTGCTTTAAACACTAAAATATCATAGCTTTATTAATTTGGGGGTATTTCATGATCTTAAATAAATTATTTAAAATTATACCAGGCCTTCTTCCCTCCGTTCCAAACGAACGTACATCTTTCAATGCAATTGTTTATTATTAAGGATTAATTTAATAAATAGTACCCTCATATCTAATCTCTGATTTTGTGATAATGCTAACCTTTGAATTAAATACTTAAGCCATTTTTATAAAATAAAAATAAACTAAATCTAAATATTACATTATTCAAAAAAAACTTCAATTTTTTTTAGTATTTTCCTTTTCAAAAATATTATAAATCTTCTCATATTAATGATTATATTATTTATGTTGTATATTTTGATATTAATTTTAATGTCAACATTTATTGAATAAATATATGATTACAAAGAATATTTTTAATTTATTGTAAAAATCATAAAATTAATTATTTTACTTGCTTAACATAAAATGTATAAGAATATAAAGAAATCATTTTATTTTTAATTTTTTTTCAGCTTTATCAGCATTCTTTTTTTTAAATTAATCTAATTGTCTTAAAATAGATAATTCTTCAGGCATAGATGGCCTTGGATTGGTATAAAAATATTCATGTAATAAACTTTCCATAACTCCTATTCTTTTCTATATTTGTTTATAAAATAATTTACTTCTGGATCCCATGTTAACATTCTTGATATTAATTCTAAAGCTTAAGGAGATGCATCCTTAATCACATTTTATAAATTTGGTCGACAATGTTAAAACTTCTCTAATTCTTTTAAGATTTATTTATTCCCATTTTTATGTAAGTCTGGCCAAACAGAAGCAGTTGGATATCCTAACATTTCACACATTAATTATAATTAATGAATTTCAGATTTACCCTATTAAATATAAATAGAAATAACCTAAAGAATTGGAAATCCTCGATTGATTAATTCAGCAAAAACACAACCAACTGACCATATATCAATGGCAGTATTATAGTTATTCATCTGACATAGAAGTTCAGGAGCTCTATACCAAAGAGTGACGACTGGATTTGTATACTTTTTTTATGGAATTTCTGAGATTTGTAAATATTGATTACCATATTCTCTTGCTAATCCAAAATCTGCAATTTTAACAATTCCATCATTAGTCAATAAGAGATTAGATAATTTAATATCTCTATGTAAAATGAAATTGGAATTGATATAGGCTAATCCATTTAAAAGTTAAAGGACTATACATTTAATCTCATTTTCACGAAAGGAATAATTATCTATTGATATATTAAATTATACCTATAAACATATTATCTACTAAAATAGCTAAGTCTATAGCACAATATTCAAATACTAGATGAATACTATCTTTAATTGGTCCTACAGCTACTTCCTAATTATGAATCAATAATTTACTAATAAATTTACAACATTTGGATGTGCTGATAATCTTTACAATATTTTGATTTCTCTTAAACATGTTATTGGAAATCCTTCATTGCTATCATGAATTTTAACTTTTTTGATAGCAACAACTTAATTTTTCTTTTTATCTTTTGCAGCATATACTGTGCCATAACTTATTTAAAAATCAATAATTTTTATTACGTTCCTTCACCAAGTTTATCTAATCTTTCAAATTCTTAAATTGATCTACAATTAGCAAACCAATGCTTTCTAATTTCATCATTCATAAATTCATTTTTTCTCATATTATTATAATTATAATTATAATGATTAAAGAACTTTTATTATTATTATACTTTATCATTTTGGTATATGCATTTGCTAATACAAAATGTGGAGGTAAAAGATATAAATGTGGAGAAGAAAATTAGAATAATGTCTGTGTAAATGTTTCAGAGTATAGAGGTAAGGTTCATGAATTAACACCATGTTCTGATGATAAAATATGTTTATGGTAAGATGCAGTATTCTAAAAACCTGTATATTGTACAGACAAACCAACAAAAGATAAGATTCTACCAGGAGAAGGTTGTAGTGGAGATAGCGATTGTTTATCAAATAGTTGTAAAAGTGGAGTTTGTTTGGGATTAAAATTGAATTAATAATGTGCAGGGCATTAATATTGTGATGTTGGTTATTATTGTGATACATATTGTAAATAATAAGTTCAATTCGAATAATCATGCTAAAATGATTATTAATGTACTAATAATTGTGTATGTAATTTGGGGAAATGTGCATATTACTATTCATTAGAAAATAATATTAAAGCTGATAATCCAAAGGCATGCTATTATGGATATATTAATCCAAATAATGGAACTTGCCAAAATGGACCTCATAGTTTAACAAAGAGTAAACCATGTGAAACTGATACTGATTGCATTTTATTGGATAGTGATTAAAAGTTATACGGTTATTCTGAATGTTAATGTGGATTCAATGCTGGCGGGTTTTCTTATTGTAGTTTGGCTGAAGGAGATCCTGAATATTTGAAGATATTAGAATTATTCTAATGGTTATTACAAGTTAATCAATATTGTCATACTATTTTGAGATATGGACCTTGTTCTTCTCTTTATTTAGATGAATATATTGATTATTAAAAGGCTGTAAAATTCTATGAACTATAATCATAAATCATGTTTAATGATGAATGTATATAGAAGATTTATACTGATGAATATTGGGGCATTCATTCAAACAGATTATATATACTCTTAATTATTTTATTATTATTATAATGAGACATAAAATATATATTTAATTTTGAAATTCAAATTCAAAAAAATATTATTTTAATTAATAAAATGTATAGAAGTTAGAGGTTGAGAATGAAATCATAAAATCATTTATCTATATCTCCTCCTATCATCAAAAGAAGGTTAAGAAATAAGAATGAGTATAGCGAAATTATAGAGCCCACAGATAAAAAGAAATAACATCTCATATAAGATATTGCAGCAACCAAATAAAAGAGCTTAACCAATTTTGCCTTAACAGTTACACCAAAATATGCTTAAGAGAGAGATTATGATGATGATGAAGATATTCTATTTCATGTAATCCCACCATATTAATCATATAGTCTAAGGGTAAAAAAAGACCTTGGTCAGAATAAGAGGATAATTTGCTTATCAAATTAGTATAAATGCATGGTCCACAGAAATGGACATTCATAGCTGAACACCTACCTGGAAGAATTGGCAAATAATGTAGAGAGCGTTGGCATAATCATTTGAATCCATAAATTAAGAAATCACATTGGGGTGATTATGAGGAATGGATTCTCTTCTTATCTCATCGAGTAATGGGTAATAGATGGGCTGAGATGGCTAAATAATTAATTGGACGAACAGATAATTCCATTAAAAATCATTGGAATTCAGCTATGAAAAAACGAATCCCTGAAATGGAAGAGAGATTAAAGGATATTCGTAAAAGAGGAGGTAAAATAATATAAATAATTTATAGGCATGTCAAATTAAGAATTAATGAATTCATTTACTTCTCTTGAAAGATAACTATTATAAAAATTACTAACATCTTAATAAAATGGATCAATGTCTCCTAGATCTTATTCGCCTAATAATATTCCTAGAAGAAGAACAAATAAATAATAAAATTATTTAAATCCCAATTCTGTAAATTCTTATATTTCTAAAATGATGAATGAAATCAAAATTGACGGAATTGAAAGTTTTAATATGGAAAATAAAATGCTCAAAAAAACCGCTAAAATTGTAGATTCCATTTTTTGGAATGAAGATAAAGTAGATGATATTTAAAATAATTTATATGAGTATATTTAAGAAAAAGTAGGCGCTCATGGTTATGATCAAGATGAAAAAGTAGATAGATGGATAAAAAACTTTTGGATTATGTGTTAAGATGTATTTACGGTTTCAGTTATTAAAGACTTTTTATCATAAAGACCCTCTTTCTATTATAATTATTTACATAAATATAAATAGGATGCTGCTAATTAGGTTTCAAAGAATTTAAGTCGAATTTATGAATAAACTAATAATAGTGATGAATATTAATTACCTTCTCTAAATCAATTCAAAACACCTTTGAAAGAAAAGGTTGATCCTCATCAAAATAATAATAATAATAATAATCAACATAATGATACTAACAGTCCTAGTAATCTCTGTTTAGAAGTTAAATATGATGATCACTTTCAACATTAAATAGAATCACCATCCAAATTACTTAACCTTCTCACACCAAAACATCAAGCTTAACATTAGTCTAATAAGAAAACACCAAATCTCAAATCAGAAAATAAAAGCTTGATTTAGCATTCTTAATTTAAAGATAATTTAAGTTTGAGCAAACTAAAATTTGAAACTACTCCACTTAAAAAAAACTCTGCTTTCAAATTTTACAATAAAATACAATTGCATTAGTAATAGTAACATTGAATCATATATTTTGTTTTTTTTAATTAATATATAATTAAATAATAAGATATATTTGTCTATCATTATTGCTAACCAAATTATTAGCTCTTTTTAACTGTTCCAAAATATCTATCACCAAAATTTCCAATTCCTGGTGCTAGATAATTGAAATCTTTCAATAAAATTGGATCAACTTAAGCAGTGATTATTTTAATTTTTGGAAATTCTCTAAACAATTTCTCTATACCTTATTCACAACTCACTAAAGTTAAAAATGTAATGTTTTCCTATTTCACTCCTTGATTTTTTAGGATTCTTAAAGCTAATGTTGCACTACTACCTGTAGCCAACATTGGATCCATTAATATAACCTATTAATCCTTTATATTAGATGGTAGTTTCTAAAATAAATATGATGGTAAGGCAGTGTCTTCATTTCTTTATATCAATATTTATCCTATAGATGCTCCAGATACAGCATTTAAGCCTTCAAATAAAAATGCATTTCCTGATCTTAAAATACTCACAAAACATATTCTAATATTAGAATTAATATTACTCTTCATCTTCAAATTTCACTTCATGTGCATCATAATATCCTAAAGGAGACTGTTTTACATGTTTTTTCTTTTCTATTTATGAAATTGCTTATTCAATAAGTATTCTAATTAAACGATCTGAATTTTTTCGGAATTCCTAACCTTTATTTATCATATTACCACAGTATCAGTTTCTACATCTCTTATTATAGATAATATATGTTCAGTGTAGCTTCTATCAATTATTGATAAGTTCTGATGTTTCTTTAATAATTTATTTAAATCCTATTCATTAAGAAAATGATAATGAGGTAATTTTTCATCCTTAATTGTCTTACATAAAACATATGTTGTATTAAATAATGAAAGATTCACACCTATTCTTATTAAATTTTTAAACATTATATTTATTATTTGTTTTTGGCAAAAAAATTAAATTAAATAGATATACAAGATTCATTCTCGTTTATTCAACTCATCTTATAAAAATTATCAATATAATAATAATAATAATAATAATAATATAATAATATCCAAAATCTCATAAATTTTACTCATTACTCCTGTTCAAATTAAATTAACAGTATATAATAATGAAAAGCACCATTGTTTCATAAAATTGTTATTTTTTACATTTATTCTTAATGTTAAATATTACTTTAGATTACTAGAAATATAATCAATCCATTAAATCGTAATTATTATAAGACCATATTTAATTCAATATTTATAAATTATCATCTTTTGTATTGAAATTACAATATTCTATTCTAATATATTTCAAAGACATCTAATTTTTAATTATTAGAATCACAATTTCTTAAACTCTCTAATGTATCTTTCTATAATAGTTACACAGCTGCAATTTTAGTCTTTCATAAAATTCATTTTTATTACTAATAGTTTTAGATTTATCTTACTATATTATCCTTTAGATGGTAATTTATAAAATCCTTAGTATCTAAATTAATTTCTTCAATTTTACCCCATCATTCTTTTCATAATTATCTTTCATCTATAAATAGAAATGGATAATTCATACATTTTATTTTATTGCTTAAATGTAGTTCAATAAAATTAAAGCAAAATGATCAAATAAAATAATAGTTTATTTAATATAAAATTATTAATTTTCTTTATATCAAATTTTTCTAATTCTTATGAAAAATTAAACATTTATTTTTGTTAAATATTATTTAATCAAATTTTGTTGATCCTATAAATAAATGATTCTATTATATATTAACTTAATTCATAATTTATTTTCATTAGTATTTTGTGAATACATTCAAGATAATTTTCTTCATAAATAAATATTATTAAACTATTTATTTTAGGAATTTATTTATTCTTTTCTAAAAATACACTTATTCATGTTTATAAAAATTAATTAATCAAATTTTTACTGAATGAATTTATATGTTTAATATTTTAGAAAGAATCTCTAGTATTATAAATCCTGGAGATTATAATACATAAATTGGATAATTTTTTCTGTTTGAAAGCAATTTAGAGGAAAATACAAAATTATATCAAAAAATTATCTGATATAAAGAAAAATAAATAAAATTTTTTAAGGATGATTTTATATTATTAATAATAAAATCAATTTTAATATTCAGAGGACTTTTCAACAAAATCTGACTTATGAGAATCACATTTTGAAAGATATTTATTTTTACATCCTAATTTGAATAAATAAATACTATTAATATGAAAATTTGAATATTTTGAAAATATTCCTTTTGCTCTTTCTTCACATATGATTAACTCATGATCCTTCCAGGGAAATCTCTTATAAGTTTTAATTTTCTATTAAAAATAAATTTAAAAAATACTTCATAATCTCTAACCATGATGATTTTGATCAATTATTTAGTCATATTTTCTAATTTCTCTTCATTTTCATCTAAGCATATATTCTTGAATTGAACTATTTATTTAAATGAATGAATACTTAAAAATTAAGTATAATATTTGGAGAACCTTTTTGACTCAAATAATCTTTTTAAATAAATATCATTCATGGTTTTCATCTTCGAATCTTTTCTAAATGGAATCATATCATCAAAAGATTCTTGTTAATGAGATTTCATGAATTCTTAATCATCAGAAAAGAAAGAATTATAAAATATTTTATCCCTTTCTTCAGCTGTAATTCCTTCTTTTTCTTTATAATCAATTTCACTTTTGATAAAGAGAAAGCATCTCCTGATAATAAATTTGGTCATTTCTTCTTTTGTTTTATTAATTAAGATATATCTTTATTTAATCATGTCTGGAAGGTCTTTTTATAAGGATGACAAGATCTACGATTTATATAAGATGATATACTTTTAAATTTTCAAACACAAACTTATCAAATATACTATCTTTTAATAAGGAAATATGTTTAGATAGGTATTTGATTAACATTTTTAATTCTTTTTCAGCTGCTTCTTCAAAGTTCATATTGTTATTGATTAGTTATGATTCAAATAAGTTAGTCTCTGGGAATTAGGAGGCTTAATCACGAGTTTATTTTTTGAGAGTTTGTATTGTATAAGTGGTAGTTGGAAGCATATAGAACTATTAAAGATTGAGTTATGGATAATTCATAGAGGATGGGACATATGATAATGGAAGCATAAGATGATTTAAAAAAATTAGATGTAAAATAAAATATCTTTTATTTATTTGAAATAATTTATCCAAATGGCATAGTAGTCAGAATTAATTTATTTATTTCAATTCAATTAATATTTATATTAAAAACTCATAACTACATATTGCAATAATTTTGATAGGATTAATAAATTATCATCCTACTAATTGCTTATATTTGAAAATAAAATTCTTATATAAATGAATAAATTTATTAATAAGTTTAATATGAAAACAAATTGGACATAAATTAATATCTGTTATAATAAATTATTATATTAAAGTATAATGAATACATGTGATAAACCAATAATAAAATTACTGATAATTGGAGATTCTGCTGTTGGCAAAACTAACATTCTAAAGAGATTCTGTGAAAATTAATATACTTAAAACTTTGTTTCAACTATTGGTAGATTAATAACTTAAATTTAGAACAGGCATAGATTTCAAATTTCGAGATTTAGAAGTCGAAGGAAAACTAATGAGATTGTAAATTTGGGATACAGCTGGTTAAGAGAGATTTAGAACCATTACTTCAACTTATTTCAAAGGAGCAATGGGAATTATATTAGTCTATGCAGTAAATAATCTTGAAAGTTTTCAAAACATCTAAAATTGGATGAATTAAATAAAACAAAATGCTTCTGAAAGTGTAATTATTTTGTTAGTAGCTAACAAATCAGATCTTAATGATAGAGCAGTTTAATATGAATAAGGTAAAAACTTAGCAGATTCTTATGGTATTAAATTTTTTGAGACTTCTGCCAAAGAAGGTATAAATATTATAGATACTTTCTAATGTATTTCTAAATAAATTAAAGATATAATGTCATTAGAAGAAAAAGTATAAAATATTAAACTGGAATCAACAAGTTAGAATGCCAAATCCAATTTTTGTTGTTGATTCTATAAATTAATATTTATTTAATAAGAGAATTAACATGAATATTCCTTAACTCAAATAAATTATTTTAAGAATTTCTTTGCACCATCTAAAGAAATTGGTATCTTTGGTTTTGGAGGAATACTTAATTTATCTTCTTATGTAGTTATTTTTAACGAACCATAAGATGTAAGTTAGGTACTTTTTACAAAAAGATCATTTTTGTTTCTGCTTGAAACAATTAATTGACCTAGAATCTAAGGTTGATTTTTTATAGCTTTAGGTGATGAACCTGTAATTTAAGTGTGGATTTTCCCATTTTGCAAATATTCAGTTTTTTATTAGTTTGAATAAGTCCTCTTTTATTTTTATATCACTGGTTATGCATTGTAAATTAATTCAATGAGTTAATTCTTTTAATCAGTAATTAATTAGAGAGCAGAACTTCTTAAATTATTATTTGGAGAATTAATCTATGATTTATTTTACTATTCTTAATTTTATTAATTTTCGAGATTTTGTTCTTAATTAGATATTGGTTATAATTTATTAAGATGAAGATTTCTATAATTTAATAGTTAGTCTTATCTATTAAATTTAAATAATTTCTCATTGCCTTTTCTTTCATTGCATAATTATACAAAATGAGATTCTTCTTTTAATGATTTTACTCGATTTGATGCTCCTTTTAAATATTACCTTTTATAATTGGTCTTGGTAGCTGGCAATCTTTAAAAGTCCCTATAGCTTGAGGTTCCAGTTGTAGAGGCAGTTCGAATTCCTCTAAATTCTTAGACTGAAACTGAGACTGTAGTGAACATATTTAATTAAATAATTAATATAATTTATGACATTTATAATAAACATGATAATTATTCATGAGCTAAAAAGACTTAGAGTTTCTAATATTTCTTTTTTTGCTTCCTCTAAATCTGTTTATGCTTATTCAAAATATAATGAAAAAGCACCCAATAATTTTGGATAATCCTTGTGATAATCATGTGCTTTTTCTTTTAAAATTTCTATTCTTCTATCATCCAATAATTTCTCTCTCTCAAACTAATTTAAGGCCTAAAGAATTAGTTCTAAATCATAAATTCATTAAGGATACCTTATTGCAACAATTTTGATATACTTTTGATAGATTCAACAAAATCTTCTATATTTTTGTTAAATAGGTACAATTCAAAAACTCCTTTAATTCTCTATTCATTTCTTCTCTAATTAATAACAGATAACATGTAATCATCTATTTTTAATTGTCCTTCTTTTTATAATTTTTTCAACAAGTCTTCAAATTATTTTTTGATTTAATCCTATTGACTTAATTTTCTGACAGCAGAAATAAATCCATTTAAGTCTTAATCTTATTGATACTCTTAATATAATTCAACAATTTTCATATCTCTTTATTCATTTGGCATATTCTCTAATCGATTCTTCTCTTCTGCTGAAAAATATTTTCTTATTTGCAATAATATCTCTTTAGCAGTTAATTACTTTTTTGGCTCAGTTATTGGTTATTGATCTTCGTCAGTATTAGGTGAATTAATCTAATGATAATTAATAATATTTTTACATTAGTGAATTTTGAATATTATTTTATAATTATCTTTAAATTTTCTAACATATCTTCAGCATCTTGATTTTATAAATAAGTTTCAAAAGTTCCTAAAACCTATAAATCATTATCCATAAACATTTTTAATAAAAAGTTTTTTTCATTATCTTAAAGATGATTTTATAATGTAAATTATCTCACTTAATTCATAAATAAGTTATACATCTTTATTTTTCTATAGTCTTCCTTTTTAATTTATTGTTCAGATAATAATTTTCTATTAATATTATATTAAAATACATAAGTTTACTTCTGGTACCATTAATATTTCTAGATTATTACCATCCTTATAAAATTTCATATAGTTGTTAATTATGTTCTGAAAACAATAATTCAACTTATCTAACTTTTGGTTCATCCAAATCCATATCCCAAAGCATATCTTTAAATATTTATTATAATTCTTTTTCTTCCCGAATTGAATAAAACTAATCAATCTTTTCTAAATTAGCTTATCTTTTTTCTTTTTTTGTTTACATAAAGTATTCTTCATTAAAAATAATATCTCCAGCAGCTACTTCTGATGGAATAATTCTCTTTTATGCAGAGATTTACTCAGATCTACTCATTATATCATTTTTTTAAAAGATTGGTTATTGTATTTCTTAGGCTGGTTTTTAGATTGGCTATGAGTTTTCAAAATTTTGTTCATTTGATTATTGTAAAGGTTATGTTTAATGTAAATGTATAACTTAGTTTTCATTTGTGTGTTTTTATTATTTTTTTAATAACTATTATTACAATTACGATTTTTATTATTATTCTTAATGTTATTATTATTGTTATTATTATTATTATTGTTATTATTATTGTTATTATTATTATTATTGTTATTATTACTATTATTGCTATGGTTATTATTGTTGTTGTTATTATTATTCGTTTGATTATGGTGTTTAAGTCTATGCATTATCTGGTAATTAAAAATTTGGCATTAATACACTATAAGGTGAAGGGGCTTTAGGAAATTGTTTAAATAATACTATCTCTTTTGATACTTATGTTTATTATTTTTCTGGTTAATTAAGATTTTGATTTTAAGTTTATACTGTATTGATTGCTTTTCTTAAATCATTTATAAATAATTCTATATTATTTTAGTATCTAAAGTGTTGTAATACAGCATGTATAGATCCAGAATGACTATTTCTATATTCATGAATCATAGTAATTTCAGATAATTTGAAGTTTTACTATAATAATTCATTAAACTTCGAATCTGAGTAAATCTACAATGGTTTTAGAGAAGGTTATTCTCCTCCTCGTTGCATTTTATTGTAAATATCTGTACATAATTATAATAAGACTTGATCCTATTGATTCCATAATACATTGATCATTCCAAATTATTCAGAAGTGTAACTGTAATTATTTATTTCAATAACTTTATTTTTGATATCTTCTAATCTTTATACTAAATTATTTTGTGTAAAATCTTATTATAATGAACGATTAGATTCTTAAGAATTAATGTTAATTTGCTATTATGGTTTAGTTTGACGTTTGCTTTATTTGAGAGTTTAGAATGGAGATGTTGGTCTTTCTTAATATGTACAATTCTCAACAATTTTATTTAATTTCTCACATAATTATTATATGTTTATACTATTCTACAAATAAAATTGCAAGACTTGTATAATTTCTTTGTTTTCTTCTATTAATAAACGCTTTACTAATCTTGCCATTGTAACATCTAATATTTCCTTTTCTTCTAGATCACCTACTAAACCAAATAACATATCTTATTAACTGATAATTGATTCATTTTGATAACCATTACTTTATTATTATTATGATTAATTTTATTATTAATATCTATAATCTTCAAAATTCTCACTACCTCTTGAGGGAGCTCTTTGAATGAGTTTAGCTTAGACTCTAGTAATTAATTTTGAAGCCCCAACATTTTAATTCATATATAAGGAATTATTAGACATTTATGATTCTTCTACTAATTTTCGAATAGATTTGCTTCTTCTTTTATCAGGAGATTATTGAGATGAGATTTAAGATTACTATTTAATATTTGAGGTTCTTGTGCTAGTACCTTATAACTTGGCTTAAACAAGTTTATGAATAATTTCATCCATTTATTTCATTTTTTTATCATTATTCAACTAAATGGAAACAATCTTTTTAGATCCTTTATAGATCCAAAGCAATTTATTATAGAAATCATTTTCTCTTGCCTGATCTTGTAATCTATTACTAAAGGAATAGAAAAAGTTAACCCAATTGTTGAAGTTGTTGATCAAGGGTTCGAGAGCACATAGAAAATCTAGCCCTTGATAATCCTTTTCATCAATCAAGTAAATACAGGTGTATTGATCTCCACCTAAAATCTACTGGAATTCTTCCAAATCATATATGAAATCAATAAATGAAAGCTTATTGTTGTAATCTGACATCTAACTATATTTTAGAGATGTTTATAATAATTTGTTATCATTTTAATTTGAATTTTCTTCACTTACGATAGTGTATACATTGCATCTTGAGTAATACAATTATTAAATAAATTATGATAAATCATAGAAGTTACCTTGAAAATTAAAAATTATTGTTACCGTCTTAATCAATTAATCCTATTATTCTGTTTTTGATACTAAATAATTAAACCAAAAGTATCTGTAAAGATTGCACATTTACTCGTTTATCCAAATTTATTTGTTTAACTTTATTCAAATATTTGAGGGTGAGTAACATTTAATAATAAATAATGTTTTCAAATATATTAAATAATATAAAAAATAAATCTCTATATATTATTACATATGCTATAACATAAGTATTAGTTTTATAAGATTTCAAATAATATTAAGTTTAGATTAGATGGACTATTAATAAAAATCATATTTCTATTATTTGATTATTTTTATCCAATATTACAAAAATATTATTTGACTTAAGTAATAATATTCAATATACTATTTTATCTCTTTATCTTAAGTGCTAGATTAGTTAAAATTGATCAATCACCTAAATATTTTTACTTAAAAATTCAAACATATTAGAGAATCAAACCTTTTTTAATATTAAAAAATATGAATCATTTATAAATTATGATAACAGTTTTCATATTATTAATAATCATAAATTTCAAATTCTTTTCAATTTTTCTTAGATTGGAATCTTCAATGATATTATGATTTTATTTAAATAATAAGAAGTATTATAATAAATATATCTATATTAAATATCAATGAGTTTGATTATTATTTAGGAACATATTCGAATAAAATTTGGATTGAGATTACGAACTTCCAAAGGATGGTTATCTGTTTTGATTGATGAAATTGGGTTTGATTTAAGATTTAACATTTTAATCATCTTATTATCCTTATTGTTCTTATTATTATTTCTTAGCCTACCAATTATTTAATCTATTTGATAACAATATGCTTTATACCTTTCAACCATGACTTCTATATCCTTCTGATGTAAAGGTGATTTAGCAGGTGAATCAGGCTCATTTATAGAGTTACTCAATTATTCAGTTAAATCCACATATTAATGTACAGGCACTGAAGCCTTGATTTGCTATTAAAAATAATAAGAATAAGTAAATACATCATTTACAGCTATAGGTAACTAATCAGAATCAAAAAAATTAGGATTTGGAGTTTATTGATTTGATTATTCATATTTGCTATCAGTAGCATTTGTTTTAGATTTGAATTAAGACACTTCTAATTATTATTAGCGTTGATATTCTTAATACATGGAACTAGTCATGTTTTTAGTATAATAAGGTCCAAAATTACTAGTATTTCTTTTAGATTATTCTAATATTAGAGATAAGAACAATTACAAATAATATTTTCACTGTTTTTTCTGACCTGATATAATCTATCGAAAACAGAAGTGTTAGTTAATTCATGAGTTAATCTATTTGCATTGTTAAGTAGTTCTCTTGACTATAAATAAAGGAGGATTTAATACTTCATCATCATAAATCTATTGTCTTTTCATTTATCTATTTAAATTCCATCGAAATAAATCATTTATAGATCTTTATAGATTTGCAGATTATTTATTAATCTAGTATAAATAGAGAATATACATCAGGTTTGAATTGATATGATTCTAGTTTAGGTTTATCTTTAATTCTCTATTTGGAAGAGGGTCTAAAAGAGTTTTTGGCTAGGATTTAAATACGTAGAAGTTCATCATTAGTGAGCAATAATCTTTAAGATGAGTACTTCTTCATAAATTTATATAAATTTTATTTCTCATTATTAAAATGAGTGAAGATATATAATATAAAATAAAGCCAGTTTCATTAGAGTTCATTCAATAATATCAAAGAATTCTTTGATTGTAGTTTATCTTCTGAATCTTCGTTATGGTACTGTAAACCAATCTTTACCATAAATTCTTTCAACATAATCAGTAAAGGTAATTAATTAATATTACTTACTTTCTTTATTTTATTTTAATTAAGTATTAACCGGAGTATTGTTATTAAAGAATTCATCAACATCATTTTTCACTTCAATTTTTAAAGTAGGTTGAGATGAAAAGTTTTCGTTTCTTCTGAAGCGAAAGGTTTTATTTTATTGTTAGGTTTCTTGGATATTATCCATATTATCCATTTTAGATAACATTTTTTTGAGATTAAATTCTGATGGTCTATGAGTTCTTAAAGTATTTTAATTTTCCATCAAATTGTCAATACTGTCTAATTTCATAGGTGAATAATTTAAAGAGACTTTAGACTTTGACTTATCAGGTGATTTCAATGGAGAGGAGAATAAAGTTTCTTAATCATAATCATTATTGAATAAATTCTTAGTGATTGAGGAAAGGTTTGTTTTCCTGTTGGTCATTTTTAATTTTATAATTCCAAATTTTAATATTTATGATTTTCATTCTAATTATGCTTATCTAATAAGTGATTTAATATCATTTGTAATATTTAGATTAAATTATAAATAAATATAATCATGTTATACATTCCAAATAATTATAGAATATGAATTCATTCTTCTTTTTTGATTAGTTATTAATATATAATACTATTTCACATAAACATGAATTGTTAATGTTATACTATAATAATAAATTGAAATAATCTACATTACATTATTTATCATATACTTTAATAATTCCACTTATTTTTTAGCTCTAAAACATCATAAAATCTTTTTTTATCATATAAGAATTCAAATTTTATTTATCATAAATCTTTAAATAATTAAGTATTAATTCATTTGAATATATTTTAAAATATCTTTATTTATTAAAGGAATCGCTATATGTCCTTTATAAAATATTCTAGCCAATTTATGAAAATATTTGTAATAAATATGAAATAAGTTATCTATTAGTTTAAAGGATTCTACTATAAGAAAATTTTATATATAGATAAAATATAATATGTAATAAATTTCAATATTTGGATATAATATTATTTCCATTTTATTTTTTTGAATTATATAATATAATTTATTTTATAATTATTGTGATCCAATTTAAATTAAAATCCTTTGAAATATTGTAATATATAATAAAGAATGATTATCAGCCAAATAATAAATGAATCATTCAAAATCGGCAAAACATAAGTTTAACATAGAAGATTGTTCTGAATCTGAATAAGAAGAAACATAAAGAAAATCTTTAAATGCTTAATCTTAATCCTTATTTTAAACAACTTTATTTGGTGCATTAGACTCTTAAGTTAAGTAGTTTAAAAAGAAACCAATAGTTAAAAAATCTATGACTGAGTTTCTTAATAATTATGATTAAAATTTTGATGATGTATTTGGAAGTATGAAAATGCCAATAGATGTTAATCAAGATAAATAAGTAAGAAATAATAATAATAATAATAATGGATAAAAAAGTAATAAAAAATAATAATAAAAAAGACCAATAGAAACAGTAAATTCAGAATCAGATTCTAATTCAGAAATTCAAACTACAACTAAAAAATAATCAAAACCAAATAGAAATGGAAAAAAGAAATAATCTAAAAGAATTGTGGAATCAGATTCAGAAGATAATAAAGAATAGAATGAAAATAAAATAACAAAAAAAAGTTAACCAAAAAAATAAACTAAAGTTAATAATAAATAATCATCAGAAGAATAATCTAGTGAAAATAAGAAATATAATCCTAATTCATTGGATCTACCATAAAATAGTAAATAAGATAAAAAAGGTTAAAAATTGAAAACAGCAATATTTAATTTTGGTACAGAAGAATTTGAAAAATAAGGAACATCAAATAAGAAAAATAAAAAGGATACTTCTAAAAAATAAATTTATAAAACAAGAAGTAAAAAATAGGTTGAATAAGATGATGATTCTAAAGATGATAAAATTGAATAATTAATTAAAGAATATTAAAAAGAAGAATAGGAATTATAAAAGAATCTCACAAATAAAAAAGATAAAACAATAAAAGAGAATGGAAGTACAGAAAAAATAGAAAATAAAGAGAAAAATATTAATTTAAATAGCATTAAAAAACAATCTCTGAATTCAGAATTCAGTCCTTAAACAAAATCAGATGATGAAGATGATATTGATGATTCATGAAATAATATATTATCTTCTAAATTATCATTTTTATTATAAATGATGGTGCCATTTAGTTTTCTCTGATAATATTCCTGGATTTGTAATATTTCCTTATTTTCCAAAATTTCCATAGACATTATGAGCAGTGCTTAAGAAATGTCTTTTTACATTAAAACTAAAAACTATTTATTATTATTTTACTGTCTATCTCCTAATTCAATTTAAGAGGCATTTTTAGTTAAAATTGGAGCATCTGGTTCAGGTAATCTAGATCTAAATGATCCTGTATTATAAGGTTCTAATAATTTATTAGTAGATCCAACATGTAAATTGGGTCTTACTTTATAATCATCTCTTTTATATTACTATATTTAAATACGCATAAGATGAAGTTGTATATGTAGATTTAGTTTCATGTTCAGCAGGTGTTTTATTGGCTATTTCATAAAAGGGAACAGCCTATAGATATTAAATATGATATCTTACTTATGGATTACCTTATTTCATTCTTACATAAGAACATGAACTAACTCTTGTGTTTTTGAAAAATGCTGCTGATTTATCTAACTTTAGAGATGGATGTAAGACCATCCTGCCACTTTAAATTGATTGTTTAGTTTCGGACGGTTGTGACATTCTTATTAATTATATTATTTATTTTATTTAATGAGATCTAATCATTAATACAATTATAATTATAAATTAGACTAAATATTTTAGAGAGAAAAGTAACTATTAATATTAAATAGGTCATATGATCTTCATTTATAAAAGTTGAATGAAATCAAAAGTAAAAAAACATAATCTTAATAAAGAGTCTAACATTTGGAAATTTTGGAAAAAAGAAATAATTTGAGATTACAAAGAAGACGTTTCGATTTAAATGGTATACCTTAATCAATAATTTAAATAGAATATTCTGATCGTATAAACAAGGGAAATAGCTAGTTATATTAAAAAATAACAGAAATTTGCAATAGACCAATGTAATAAGATTACTATAAATATGAAGATGAAAATCTACATCACCCTCATAATTTAAACTTAACCTTTCGTAAAAATCAAGCTTAATAAATACAAAACGAAAATGTTAAAATAGCTGATCGTCTAATGAAATAAGAACCAGTCTTGAAAATAGAAGAATTTTCACATTCTTATAAAGAAAATAAAAGATTGATGATAAGATTATAAAGATATTAATAATGTTAAAATTACACGAATATAATCAGGTAATAATTAATATGATTATAAATTAAGAAATAATATGACTTATTCTTATAGAGATTCGACAAATAATAGTTCAATAACTTCTAAAAAGAAAGAAAAACAATAGTTATAATTTTAATTATAGCCAATTATTATTAAGTAAATATTACTAATGAATAATTTATAGTTTAAAAGCTAAATCTATTGAAAATACTGAAAAAAATAATTTAAATGAAATTAAAGATAAAAATATATAATAAGAATTAGAAAAATCAAAAGATCATTAAATTAAACAATAATTATCAGAAATTCAGTAAGATAATGAAGAATCTTAAATAGAAACTATAAGATAAGATGAAACTGTTGAATAATAAGTACAATCATAAATTGAAAGAGAAGTTAAACTTTATCAAGAAGAATAAAGTGATGATATTGAATAATAATAACAATGATATATTTTCCTTTTAATAATACTTTTGAAAAATAATATTAAAATTAAATTTATTTATTACTTATCTATTTTAACAGTCATATGAAAAATAAAGAATAAGTCCTTAAATAAGTTTATGAAAGTAATTTATAAAATAAATCTAGATGAAAATAAAGTATTTGGTAAAAAAAATAAGCCAAGAAACTAAGAACCTAATATGTTTGATATCATGAAATGGCCAGTCGAATAAGATGAACCATGGGATTTCAAAAAGAACATATAAGTTGATAGAGAACCTGAAACTAAAAAATTAATAACAAGAATTAATCATGAAAATTAACATTGGTTAACTGAAAATAAAGATAATTTCAGAAAAATTGAAAAATTAAAAGTAGAAGATTCATAAATTCTTGTATAAAGTATATTAGCATTCTTAAAATTATTTAGAATTAGATGAAAAAACAATTAAAAATATTGCAAAATCTTGTGATTGTCGTAATCCTTAATAATAACATAATCCATAAATTTAATTATAAGAAGATTAAAACAATCAATATAAATTACCTGTTTAATGGAATCCTAAAATATAAACAGCATATCGAGATAATTATTTAGTCAAAGATATAAAAGATACTAATGAATTAATGTATTAGTTAGAATAAAATAATAAAAATTTTAAAGGTGAATATAAAGTTTAGCATCCATTTAGTGGATTTTATTATGAAGAATCTAAAAAAGATGAAGAAGAAATAATATCATCGGAAGAAGAAGATTAAGATGATCAATAAAATGATGATTAATAAAAAAAGATGAATACTAAATTTATTAGAAAAGCAAAAACACTTGATCCAAATAATCCTGAAGATGCAATCAAATTATAAAGAAGAAAAGATAGAATAAAGAAATTTCAAGGAGAAACTAGATGGATAGCAGATACTGCTTTCACTACTTACTTTGGTAAACCTGCTTGGGGTCCTTATGGATTCAATAATATAAATCCAGCTGTTGGAGGTATAGTATATGGATAACATATGCTTTCTCATAATGTCTAACCACATAGAAATAAAAATGATCCATTCTATATCTAAACCTATTAAAATGCATTAAGAAAAGGAGCTGCAGTTGCAAGTGTTGAACCTGAACCTCCCAGAAATTGTAGAGAATAAGATAGATTGAATCCTGAATAAGTAGAAGCTTAAAAATAACGAAATCAATTGACTCCAACACCTTATTCGGAATTGAAAAAGTAATTAGATTCAAAAGGGAAATCAACAATTCCTGAATTTAATATTAAAAAACCAGATTTAACAAATACTTTAAGATTTGCATCAGAGGCAGGTAGTGTTTAAGGAGAATCTTAGATATAAGATAAATCAGAGAAATAATAAAGAAAACAAAAAGGAGATAAAAGACCTTAATCTGCTATTGATAATCGTACATAAAAATCTTAAAAAGATAATGATAATAAATCTAAGATTAGTAATGATTAGAAAACAAAAGAATCTAAAAAGAAATAAGATAAAAAAGTTTAAATTTAATCAGAATCTAAATTATAAATAGATGATTAATTAGCTATTCCAGATAAGGCCAATAATAAATTTATTGAAGAATTAAAATAGAAAAAAGAGAAGGCAAATAGACTTACATGTAAGGTTAATGAAATTAATCCTTCTTTATTAAAATCATCACCTAAATAAGAATAAAAGAAATAAATAACAAATGATTTACAAGAAGTTAAATCTTTTGATGATAAGTAATATTATTTATTAATCATTAGAAATCCACCACCAAATTATTTGTAATAATTGGATCCTATTGAACTCAATCCAAAGAATTATAAAGGTGTTCCTTAAGATTGGTTACATAGGATACCATTTGCAGGTAAAAAATAAGAAATTATTAAAAATGGATAATAAACAAAAGATTGTTTTAATTATGGATTTTGATTTTAGATATATTATTTTTATTTTTCTATATATAAATATGTATTACTAATTGTATATAAAATTATAAACAAAAATAAATCAAAAAAATTAATAATAATTAGTCAAAATTGATTATATATCTTATTACCATTAATTTTTGTATTTATTTTTTCTATGTTTATTCAAAATATCTTTATCATATATAAATGTAGATTAAAATAATTCTTAAATTATTTTAAATTCTTAAACTATTTAATCTTGTATTGACTATTATTATTATTGATTTGAAGAGAGAATTTATGGTAATGATTATTTTTATATTTCAATAGGTATTTATTCTTTTAAATCTTCTATTTAATCAAGTATATTTTAGACATAATCAGATTCTGGTTTATTTTCAATACTAATTTAAGTTTAATTAGTAGGATAATTCGGAATTAGTTTTTATTCATTTTCAGAATATTCAGTAACCTCTACCAAACTATTTCTTGAATTTAATCTAGATTTTTATTTAGGTTCTATTTATAAATCTAATGTAGTCTTTCGAGAAATGAGTTTAGATTGCCTTTTTTTAATTTCTTTTTTTAGTATGATATTTTAATCTTCTTAGAATTATTATTAGTCTTACTTTTTAGGTGGAGTAGCTGGCAATTTTAATTTTTATTAAAGAATTTATTATGCAGTAAATTTATTATTTCTAGACGTCATTGTGGAAGGAGAATCTGGAGTTTAAGATGTAAGTGGACTATTGATTGATTTTATACTACTTTTTCTTCTAATCATTTAAGGTTATTGATTAATTTCTGGTTATATTTAGATTGGTTAAATGGAGTATTGTTTTGTTTATCTTTTATTTAAATTAGTAGTTCTTCTTCTTGTAGTGCTATTAGCTGGTGAACAATCTGTCATTTAATCAGTAAATTATTCAATTTAATCTTGAGATTACTCAAAATCTTTTTCAGATATTTCTTTAAAATCAAGATTATTAATTTTTTCATCAAATTCTGTTTGAATTACCATGGATATATCCATTCCATCGAAAAAACTTGCATTATTACATTTTACAGGTCGTTTATTTTCAAATAATTTTTTTAATTATTCAATTCGATCCACTAATTCAAAATCCACTAATCATAGACGTATTATAAATTACATTTGAATTGTTCATTAATATGATTAATATAAAACTCATTATAATCTTGATTAACAAGTTTAAATTATTTTTTTAAATAGACTAATTAAATATAGACATTCTTCTTATCAGATTATCTAACATAACCTTTATGAGATTTGAGTATGTTTTGTACTTGAGTGTAAATATCTTACATTTTTTCTTAGATGACTTTTTTCTATTCAATATTTAATACATCCTCAGTCTTATTTATTATTTTGGGACTTTTAGGTTTTTATTATTTATCAGATTATTTTTGAATATAAGGTTCAGTTTTTTTATATTG